TTTTTTTTTTAAACTTTTTGGGTTATCTGCCTTCCACTGTTATCTGCTGCCTTTACCTTTAGGTAGCAGATAACAGTACAGAGCGGCTGAAGGTAACGATAAATTTGAACTTGGGATGTGGACACATCTCCATAAAGACTGGAAACCTATTACGACAATCATGATACCAAGAATACAAAACACCGCGAGAACAGTCGGTCTGGGGGGCCGATGTTAACGGTTACTAAAATGTCCCACACGCCGAGCGCATATGTGCCATGCCCTTCGACTGAAGGGAGAGGAGTCTTAAAAGGAACAAGAAATAAGGCTAGCGTTTTATCCCCAGTAGTAAAAATAAATTCAGACAAAAAGAGCCGCTTAGAGAACTTAATGCAGGTTAGCAAGTACAAAGAAATTTCGAAAATGAAGGACCGGTGCTATAAGGAAATCACAAGCACATTTCTACAGAAAATATAAGAAACTCATTTAATACCGTAGTTAAAACACCTTTCCCATTTCAACCTTTGTCAGAGACGGGTCTACCTGGAAAAAAAAAACCTGATTGGACAGTATTTTGCTAACTGCAGCCAAACGCTACCAAAGGTCCTCTTCTAAGCGTACATATAAGAAAGCTGGAGGCATTTTGAACACTGCATGAAGATGATAAGTGTGACGCTCCAACTAATTTGGCATCAAAATAGATTATCAAATAGGAAGGGATGGTTTTTTACACTGAGAGATTCAAACCGATGGTTCGTCCAATACAAACAGGAAAAAAACACATAAAGCCGTAAGGACACGAAGTCATTCTGAGCTCTTCCTAAGTGAAAATTCCTGTATTGTTCTGGCATACTTTGAAGCCCAATCGCGCATGAACACTTCATTGAGCGAATCAACTAAGAGCGGCGAAACAAACGCGATGCCAACACCAGCAGTGCTTGTAAAGTAGTCGCCAACCCAATTCGATGTGCCTACAACAGCAGTCTCGAATCAAGATGCTGGGAAAATTCAGCACAAAAACTCGGCAGCCGAAAGCACTCACAAGAAAAAATTGTTCACATAATAATGTGCCGCTCAAAAACATTCACATAACTAAAACAAAAAAAAACCAACCTATATAAGCCATTCTTTCAGTTACCATGTACTTGTTATGGTTTACACGAGTGTAGGCAATGTCGGTGTGAGATGAACTCTGAGGAAACGCGAACAATTTCTGAAAGCATTTTCTAAAATGTGAATTTCTGAACACGAGAAAACACTTCGAGACAAGTATTTGGATCAGAGTGACATAAGCAGCATATATACATACACCCAGCTCCCCGTATAAGAGAACAGCGCAACTCAAACCAGACTGCCCTCGCCACACTGTCCCTTGACTCAAACGGTAATTCTTATCCAACTGGTACTTTTTTGTCCACTTTTGCAATGACCTGTATAAATTTGATGGTCATAAGATCGATTTCTTTATTTTTTTTAAACTAAATCTAACGTTTTTTGCACGCTGCTCACACTGACGCAGTGCACATCCGATGCCTCACTTCATAGCCCCTGTAAGCCAGAGAGGATATA